TTACTATACATGTGTAACAGATCCTATATAATAAAAGGGTAATATGCAAATAGACCGAACAGTGGAATGATCAGTCGCTATGATGTGCACTGACCACCAAGGGGCATATGCTCAATGCAGGAGCTGCCCCCTGGTGGTCAGTGTGCTTCCACAGGGAGAGTACCCCTCAGCCAGAAGCTGGGCTCACGGCTGGTGAGCCTTTTCCGTCTCCTCAGCAGTGCTGAGGATGTCTGACTGAAGGCTAAGCCATCAGTTGGACATCCCCCAAGCGCTCCCAGGCTGTGAGAGGGCGCAGGCAGGGATGAAGGACCGCCCCCTGCCCCCGAGTGCACGAATGTCGTGCACCGGGCCTCTAGTATAATAATAAAGTAAATGAATGGGACTTGCTTAGAACCAGGATTTTCACTGTTGGAGTACAATGTTACACATAGATAAGGGGAAGAGGCTAGATTAATCTTTGTGATAAAAGATTAGTATAGAAAATTCTGTATAAATTGATACTTAGCTTAATATTGATATTGACATTTGGAAATATTAACAGATATGTTTATATACACAAATTAAACACAGATAAATATACAAACATATGTATCCTTGCTTTGTCAGTGAGGGCCCTTGAACCAACAACATTATAATAGCCTTGAGCAAGTCAATCACCCAGACATAGTTTTTTTATACCATCCTATATAATAAAAGCCTAATATGCAAATAGACCGAACAGCAGAACGAATGGCAAAACGACCAGTTGCTATGATGCACACTGGCCACCAGGGGGCATATGCTCAATGCGGGAGTTGCCCCCAGACTGCAGGCTCCCCACGTCCAGTGGCAGTGGGTTGCAGGGCTGGTGAGCGGGCGGCACCAGACCAGCCAAGGTGGATGCCTGTGGGGCCCCCCAATCACCCCGCCAGTTGCCCCACTGAGGGAGGCAATTGGCGGCAGGGGGTGGGGCCAGCAAGTGGGCAGCACCAGGCCAGCCAAGGCAGGTGCCAGTGGGGGCTCCGATCACCCCACCAGTTGTCCCACAGATCAGCCCGGATCGCCGGCCAGGCCTAGGGACACTACCCATGCATGAATTTTGTGTACCGGGCCTCTAGTTTTCTATAAAAAAGAATGAATGATTCTAGGACTGTAGCTGGAAATATACAGAATGAGTGTGAAACAACTTGTACCAGAATAAATACAAAATAGAACAAAAAATAAAAACCCCTATATTAATGGAGGTATGTCAAAGGGACACAGAAGCTGACTGAAAGAGTTCCAATGCCAAATCTGAATGACTTGAGCAATAAAGCAATATTAGATTACAATAAAAAATATCATATAAATATTTATGAGTCCACATTGATATAAATAAATAGGGGGAAAAGACAAATATCCCTTGCAGAAGAATTCCAAATATTTTATGAGGGTATGTCTACCATTAAAAGATGGAGCATAATCCCCACTCCTTAATTGTGGACTATACATAATGACTTTCTTATAGCAATAAAGCAATATTAGATTACAATAAAAAATATCATATAAATATTTATGAGTCCACATTGATATAAATAAATAGGGGGAAAAGACAAATATCCCTTGCAGAAGAATTCCAAATATTTTATGAGGGTATGTCTACCATTAAAAGATGGAGCATAATCCCCACTCCTTAATTGTGAACTATACATAATGACTTTCTTATAATAAGTATAGAATGAAAAAAGGGATAAAAAGTAGTATATTTATAGTGGTGAAGCAAAACACTACCTATGCCAGGTGTTTAAGTATTACATTGAGTTATTTTAGGAGTATTTTCACTACCTTTGAATTAATAAAAATATAGAAGATTTTAAAAATTAGATAAGCAGGTAATAAGAACATAAAGAAAAAAGAACGACAGAAATAAAACCCAATCAAACTATCACAAATATATTTTAGGATATTGAGAGTTTTTAATGCTTTTGTAACCTGAGCTTATTTATTTAGTAGTGTGGTGTTTTTGATGAAGTAGGCTTACCACTTTTTTGACTGGGAGTATGGGACATCAGAGTGTTATTTTATTGTTATTATTATTATTACTTTTTTGTAAATTAGGGTGTGGAGAAAAGAAAAGATCAGGGAAGCCTCACTTAATGGCTTCTATGTTGATAATGAAATTCTAGTGCACCTACAGAAGCTGAATTTAATTTGATAGAATATTTAATGAAATAGATGGAGATCTAGCATAATTAATAATGATGAATAGAAAAGTAAAATAGCAAGCATCAATGAGTCAATTTTGGATCTGACATTGCACTTTTAAATTACTTTTTTTTCTGGTGTATTCTCTGGATACATAAAGTACATTGCTATTCCATCTTCTTTATTTTCAATCTTTTTATATCCCTCTGTTTTCTCTTTCTATTACCTGTACTAGTTTCTACCCTCCTCTTTTTAGACATTCTGTGTTAAAATTTGTCAATATGAAACTCCTACTAAAATGTTTTTATTTTTAAAAGAAGACAAAATTGAAATACTGTACTGTGGCCAATATGTCAGTATTGGCAAGTTATATGTACATGTCTTAAGAACATAACTTACAGATACTGTGATCAAGAGAATATGTATTTCTTCCTTATTTGTTTACTTTTCAAATATTGTTAGAGAGCAGAGAATGTCCTGTCCTTTGAACCTCCTTCAAATTGACTGGCTATTATCAAGGCTTATTACTATCTCACCAGGAATGTAATAAAGTTACTTATAACATTTGTTCTATTAAACCCAGTTGCCCTCAGTGTATCTAAAATATGCTAATAATCTACAAGAACAGTTTAGAGGAAGAGTTGTATTTGAAAAAATTTATCTCACCAGTTTAACAAATCATTAATATTTTATTAATAATTATATTGTTCTGGACAGAGAAAAAAGTGTCAGGAAAAATATTCATTATTCAGTCTCAATATTCTAGCATCCTGACTACTCTCTAGAGGCAAAAGTAGTCCTAGCCAATTATGTTAGTCTTCCCTGATTAAGATTCCAAATTCTTACAATCCTCCTCTTTGTTTTATCTAAGTACCTTCATTTCAAATTTCAAACTAACCCTTTCAATTAAGAACATAAACCTGTCCCAGTCAATGTGGCTCAGCAGTTGAGTGTTGACCCATGAACCAGGAGGTCACAGTTCGATTCTGGTCAGGGCACATGCCCTGGTTACAGCTTTGATCTCCAGTGTGAGCCACGCAGTGTGTATTTAATACAATAACAACAAACACACACACACACACACACACACACACACACACACACAGATCTGAACTAATTTTTCCTTTTCTAAAAATATAATTTTATTGATTTCAGAGAGGAAGGGAGAGGGAGAGAGAAGTGGAAACATCAATTATGAGAACCCCACATTGGTGATCGAGCCCACAATTGGGGCATATGCCCTGACCGGGGAATTGAACTGTGACCTCCTGGTTCATATGTCAAAGATCAACCCAGTTGGGCTGAACTAATTTTTTCTAATTTTGACCTAATCACTACCACCAGGAGGCAACTTTTGAGTTTTCACCTCTTGCTGGAAGTTGGCCAATATCTAATAGCGGGGAAGTAAGCCATCATGAGCTATAGTCTTACACCTTGCATTAATGACTGAGGCAAAAACAGGTGAGATCTCAGGGCAAGCTCAATTGTTTCATGAAGGAGAAAGCACACAAAAAAGGACTTCCTTTTATAATTATCTTCTCTAAATGCTTTACCATCTAACCTTGTGTACTCATCATATATTCATTTATTTTACTAATATTTAAGAGTATCTTTTCTGTGCTATGCAGCTTTCTAAGACATGCAAATTCCCTTCTTTCATAAATAAGTAAACAAATACATAATGTACTTAATATCAGCTTGTAAAAACTGTTGAAATACAATGAAAGTTGCATAGTTGGTTACATATATCTTTTTTAAATATTAATTTACCCTGATTAAAAAACTCTCATACAGTATATTAAGTTAAAAATAGTTGAAAAGGCAACATTTTTAGATAATTTGGTCAGCTAGATCATTTGGTCCTAGTGATGGGGGGGGGGACTTATAATCTAAAAGATAGAGCACCTGAATTAATCTTAAAAATAATCATATTATTTTAAATCTTAGAACACATATACTTATCTAAATAGGGATTTAAGTTTCTTATATATTAACTAGAGGCCCAGTGCATAAAATTTGTGCATGGGTAGGGTCCCTAATGGCTGCCAGCTGCTGGCTGTGGCCTCCCTTCCCTGGCTGCTGGCCAGGGCCAGGGCCTTCCCTCATTCCACGCCTCGACCTGCACAGCTGGGTTCAGGATCTGAAGGAGGAGCTGCACACAAATGAAAATCCTATACAAGACATATGAATTTAGAAAGGATTGGGGGCCAGGGGAAGCCTCTATCTTGAAGAGACACACTGACTTCTGGCCGGTCCACTATTTATTTACTTGAATACACAATTGCCCTTTAGCAATGCATACAGGCATATCAAAGGTAGTTTGATAAACAGTGACAAAATTATCAGGTTAGGAAATTGCCTTGAGCCACCACTATCTCAACAATCGGGTGCTTAGCTTCAGCCCTGCTAATGCCCAAGGCCCATCAGCCTTCCGAGTTCCTTGGTGCACTCCCACGATAGTATCAGCAGTGGGTGGCTTCCCACAGCTGGCTATTACAACTCTGCCTTAGTCTTCGTTTCCTGCTCATACTAATGTTATAGGCCGTTAGACAAACATGAACAGAGAATGTACAGAAACTCACCAGGGCAGAAAGCCCTGGATGCCTAGCAAGGAACAAAACTGGAAAACAAGAACCTCATCCCCAGGGTAACCTTTCCTTCCCTATCACTGGTCATGTAGTTTGGACCCCCTGACTTTTCCTCCCTGTAATTGAATGTAAATAAAGTTGTATTTCAGCTCCAGCCCCAGAAAGACAGCAAAACCAGACAAGTGATGCCCGGACCAACTGCATTGACTAATGACCCCCTGCCCTGGCTCCTAGCAATCAATGGAGAACATGACCCTGATAGAACATACCTGAAAAGCTGATGGATATTCTATTGAGTCCCTCCCCTGAGACCTGCCCTAAGATTTCCACCTGCAAGTGAGAAATAAATATGTTCAGTATGAAAGACCTAATGTGCACTCTCCCCCCAGGGAGCATGCCCAAGCCACTCCCTTCCCCCTTCTCTCTAAGGGGCCCCAGGAGACCTGCAACCAGGGGAGCAATGGGCAGTGGCAGCTCGTCTTGGGCTAACCCCCTGAGCCTGTCTCCAAGACCCCCTTTTTCTCTGACTTCTCAATGAGTCAAAGCAGCCCCGCCTGGGCTCTCCTGCTACTTCTATGCCCTTTCTTGTTTCACTCTCCTAAGTATATTTTTGTTGTGGCCAATACATTCTAACTTTGCTACACTTTGTCTCTTCATTGAAATCTTTCCTTCAAGAAGACAAGAATCAAGGTCTTGTCATCTCCCCATTAACAATTAGTCTAAATATAAGTCAGAGGTAAAAGCTTAGGGACTTCTCAGGTCTTTTCTGAGTATGTGTCCTGCCTTATACATGCCCATGGCTTCCTAAATTCCCCTTACATGTGGGCATTTAAATATCTTAATTCCCAAAGAAAATGTCTCTCCAGCTTTTACTCCTATGCATTTTGTTTGCTTAGTGTTTGTGTCAACAATAATCTTTCACCTTAGACAGCAGTTGTTTGTTCACTTGACTTACAATGTTTTCAAGACATGCCTTGCTTAAAACAGCCATTCTGCTCTGGGTGGAGAGGGCCAATGGGGAACATCTGTAATACTCTCAACAATAAAAACCTTCTAAAAATGTTATAGGAAAGAAAGGAGCCCAGGCAGGGCTGCTTGGCTCACTGAGAAGTCAGAAGAAAGGAGGCCTGGGAGTCAGGTTCAGGGGGTTAACACAGGAAGAGCTGCTGCCGCCATTGCTCCCCTGGTTGCAAGTCTTGTGGGCACCCTCTCTGGGGAGGAAGAGTGTTCCCAAAATCAACTCTATATACTTCATGTTTCCATGTTGTTATTCTTTGAAATAATTAGTTTTCTGTCTAATACATGGCTGCTAGCATGTCATAATGTAGCTAGACAAGTGCCAAATGACTCTGCAAATCATGCAAACGTTAGAAGGAAATGAAATCATACATCTAGATACAATTTTATAAAATCAAGCTCAAGAACTCCAAGAATAAATTTAGTGTTAATGAAGGCCATGTATAAAGGTAATACCTAGTAGTGACATTTTTGTTAGTCTATCCATATTAATAGAGATCAGTTATTTTAAGTTACAAGTATTCAACAAGAAGGAAGATATAATTTTCTTATATAAACACAAAATTTCAGCTTTTGTTGTTAAGTTATATTCTTTATTATCCTGTCATTATGTTTTGTTACTAACCATTGATTTGCCCTTCATTTAAATAAAATTTGTTTTTTAGAGTAGTTTCAGTTTCACAGAAAAAATTAAGCAGAAAGTACAAAGAGTTCCCATATATATCACCCCCCCAAACACACTCATACGGTAACACAATCTACCCTACTATCAACACTGTACCACTCTAATTCAGTATGTTGCTAGTTGGGAGGCTGTGTGTGTGTGTGTGTGTGGTGGTGGGGTGGTGAGCAGGAGTATATGGAAACTTGATTGTGATGCAGTTATATTTATACACAAGGTAACTTCTTATCCACAACAACTTCCATATGGATGCAAAATGCACCACTTGATGGAAGCTTTAAATGAAATTTTAGTCTCACATACACATTTATTTTCTTCATGTCAAAGTATAAAATTAACAATGCTTAAACCTCATGTAAATTTTGTTGAAAAATGTATGACAAATATAACTTCCCTCCAAAGTAAATTTGTTACATTTTATTTTTTTCTTCTCAATAAAATACTTTTTAAAGTCTAGAAAACTAATAAATGCAATCTTAAATACTCTATTAAATGCAATATTTAGAATGATGACATTTTCTTCAGTAATGAATTTCCATTCACCTTTGAAGGGCCCAGAGATTTTAATCATATAAATAGCATACTCTATATTATAACAAAATGTAATGAATATTTTTTTACAAAAGAGATAAATGTAATAAAAATGCTTATAGTTTGTAATTTAATTAAAATTAATGCTTTCCTTGTCTTATAGGATTTTTGTCTACAAAATATCCAGTAAGTTTTTGCTCTATGTAGTAATGTCTTTCACAACAGCATTAAAAAATTAAAGTACACTTTATGTTCTTGAGATTTCATAGTTTAATATTAAGGTAATGCAAATATTAAGGCTTTTATCTACTCTCTATTCTTTAATGTAGCAGACAAGGTTATTATAATTTTCTTATAAATTATACATCAAGACTCAATGCTTCAGATAGAAAGTTCCACTGACGAGCACTAACACTTGTGTCTGTCAGAAAGCCATTCTTGCTCAATTCTTTCATTTTACTTTGACCTGAAGGGTTATTCACATTTACCTTGGGATAATGTTAACAGAAACATATTTCATATTTGAACATTTTATTAAAACAAGCAAAATATTTGTAGGAAAATGTTCATATGGAAGAAATGCCTATCTTTGTCAGTGTTCAGAAGTAATATGTAACTATCACAACCCGACTGATTTCAGATTTGGGTTGAGATGGCCCATGTGGGCAGTTGTGTTTTTAGGAATCACTGAGTTTCAATATTAATATGATGGTGTAGAAGTCATCATTACATATATTATTAGCTTGATTTCCTGTTCATAATTTGATGATAATTCTGTCATCAAAATCATACTTAAAGATTTTATTGTGGAAGTATTTAAATGTTTATTAAGATTATATTAAATTTTACCAAAATTTACAAATATATTA